ATACAATCAAAGAAACCGAACTATACAAAATAAAATAAAATAAATTAGAATTTAAATTCTATAATAGAGAAATAATTGGGGAATAGAGGAATGACAGAGGAATAAGAGAGGAATAGTCGGGGAATAGAGGAATAGCGGAATTGAGGAATAGGGGAACAGCGGAATAGAGGAATAGCGACCGACCGGAATACATTTTGAAACGCTTCCTAACAGTATCTGTAAAACTGAACCAATCATTCATATCTTTTTTAAATTAGTTCATTTTATTTCTTTAGAGGAATCGAACGTATTATGAGGTGGAATGAGAAAATGAGCGTAGCTGGAATGTACTATTCCATATCATCAAAATCGCTTGATTGTGAATGATTTTTATTAAGAACAATAATTAATCACAATTTTGGCTTTAATCAGCGATAAATTGGAATACATCAACACTTTTTTTTATCGACTGGTGATTAATTATCGATTTAATAAAAAATATTTGTATTTTATGATCGCCTATAGACAAGTTTTCTTCATATGTAATCTGAAAGTCGCCAAAATCTGACTAGGTACATCATGCTCCATCATATAGAACACGATCATCTGAAACTTTCAATACATCCTATACAGATGTACATATTCGACCATTCCACGTAACTTAGTTACCGAAAGGGTGATTTCATAACGTTTTTTCAGTATCTCAAAAATCTTATAACTATTTTCTCTCTTCACATTCTATTGTGCCTTATATGAAGAATTTTCAAAAATGTTAAAGTCAAAGCTTTTTTTTTGAGAATAAATCAATTTGGTTTTCTTTTGTCTGTTTTATTAGAAAAATAGTTCATTTTCAAAATAAGACAAATGTTTTATCTGTCATGAATTAGAAGACACCTGAAATTGGGTCAAATAGAACAACCCAAAATGTGAAACACATTTAATAGTATTATTTTTTAAAATAATATATTCGTCATTCGAACTGCAATTTCTTTTTGTCTTGAATTTTGAATATTCATTGATGTTGTGTACTCGTTTTTTCATGACAAGTTATTTCGTTCTTGAACTTACTAGAGTAGTGTAGATAGTTTTTCTAAAACAATAACAATGTTTTTATTTCATAATTGTCAAGAAAACGATAACGCTTCACATTCAAAACAGACAAACAAACAAATGATGATTTTATTTTGAGTATAGCAGTGTAGTTATTGAGATTGTTTGACTAATAATTGATGACTTGATTTTTCTTCTTCTTATCAGCACCTAATTCAAAATGTTTTGTTCGTTTAATTGGTAACTGTTTTTTATATTTACATTCAGTACATTCCATCCTTAACACAATTTTCTTTGTTGTTTTAGCTTTTTTATGAAATACTGGCTTTTTCTGACCACCAAAACCTTGTTGTTTCATATCATATCGGCGTTTACCTAGAAATAGAAAATATGTGAAATGAGAATGATATTGATATAATGAATGCTGTCCATATGTTACCTTGAACATGAACACTATCTTTGCCTTTTTTATACTGAGACACTTTATGTAGTGTATGTTTTTTACAATTCTTTCCTTTGCAAAATGTACGCCGAGATTTTGGAACATTAACCATTGTGCATAGATGTTAATAATTTAAGTGATGGAATAATACGATCTAATCTACAAGAAAAGTGTTAAAGTCTCAAATATATCTGTTCAATTCCAAACCTGAATAGATAGGAATTGTTTTTTTTTGGCCCCTAGAAAACTACAATCCAAGCATCATTTTGACATTTCCACTTGCTGAAAAAAACGTCCTCAGCCAATCAAATGATTTGTCAATACAAAAATGGTGTATGCTGCATATTTTTTAATTTCATTATAGTCATGCGAAAACGCACAACTCTCACTGTTTAACGGACATCCATCTGGATGATAAAAATGAAAAAAACATATTTTTGTTTTTAAATTTTTCATCACTTGATCATTTCCACCATTTTTAGATAGTTTTTGTTTCATATCATTTTCTAATGGATCAGCAATATGTATATTATTATTTGATAGTAAAAATATTTCTTTATAAGATTTAATTATAGAATTGAGTCCACCAGGTTCAGATTTAATTTGTTCTTTCAAATTCATTGGTAAAATGTTATATGCATCTGGTATTGATATACTACCATTTTGTAAAATATATTTGAAAAGAATCAATGCAATATCAGATTTAACTGTTTTTTGTAGAATTGTCTTTTTGTTTATCATCAGTGATGATTGTTTTGTTTCTTTTTCAGCTGTAACACAATCTAAATCAATACCAAAATGTTTTAATATTTGGTCACGAGCATTGTACGTCGAAATTGATTCTTGGTGATCATTGGAATGCTGAAAACAAAATGAATCTCTTTTTATACATCAGCATAATAATGATTAAACTTTAAAAACTTAATTAGTGAAAAACAAGATTCAATCAACCAATTTTATCAGCATGGTTTTCGATCACAATTGGGAGACTTCAATTTTTACAGGTCAACTGTCAAAAAAATATTTTCGCCAGATAATGACTGATAAGCAGAAACAATCTAATAAATTTTCCCATTCTGATCAAAAACTCTTTTTGATGATAACTTAGACATCTTAGATTGTTTAAATTAGTTCAACGCTGTGTAGTTTCTCTAATACTTGAAAATAAGTAAACGTTAAGAAAAGAATAAAAATGTGAGAAAGAAAATCGCTATATTTATATACCCCAGTCATATTAATATTTTTTCTTCTTCCGATAAAACAAATGGCTTTAGTTGATGGTATTCTCAACTTATCTCGTTGAACATCAAAATTGAGTACTTGACAAATTTGTTCAACGTAATTCAAATATGCATCATTTTGATTTTCGTGTTTTTTTGTTGTAAATTTTTTTCCACCAAAATCATAAAAACAACAGGGTAATAAAAAAAAGTTTATATTCAAACGTTGAGCCATAACTGGTATCCATGGTGTTAATTCATCTGAATGATTTCCAATGATATAGGAAAATTTTTGTTCTAGTAACAAATTGAAAAGAATTGTATTGTGTGGATCGATAGTTAATTCACGATAGTAAGATGTAGAAGAAGAATCAAATAATTTCCATGAACGACGTTTTCTCATATCAATACCAATACCACGATAACCTTCGCTATTTAAAATACAAGTCAGTAGACCATTACCACAACCAAAATCAACAAATGTCGGTTTTTCATTTCTACATGCATTTTCATTCCAATAAGTTATTAAATAACTTGCTATACCTAAAACAGAACAAATAATTCTACATGAAAAAATGAGATGACATTCTGAAACTCTTTTGGATACGAAAAATGTTAGAATAGTTTTATTATGTTTTTTTAACCGAGATACGTTGTATAATAAAAATAACGATACAATTCTGTGCCGTATATAATTTTATTCGTTACATATCTTTCTTGCTAAATTAATGTTACTTGCCTATATCTTCATGAACGTGTTTTTGTGGATCGGTTAGTTCTTGCCAATTTTCTATCAAATATTTTCCATATTTTTGTTTTAAATATTCATATTGTTTTTGATATTGTGTAATATTAATTAATTTTAGTGTCGTTTGCTCAGAACTACATGCATCTTTTAACTGACACCACGTTGACAATTTTTTTAACAATATTTGTTTAAACCACTCCATTGTTTTATTATCACATTCTGATGTAGATGATACTAATAATCTTAGATTATTTTCATTTGTTAGCTCAATGCAGTACGGAATCAACGGGCTACAAGGTCTTCTCGATGTTTCATGTGGAAATGAAACTAGAAGGAAAATAACGAAAAAAGGGCAGTTAGTAAATAAAAATACAACAAAAAAAAAATAACTGTGGTTATTTTTGTTAGACAGAATTTATGATTGTTTGAACATAGTTCGATCTTCTTGAATAATTTCGGTATAAAAACATGTTTCTACGTCCGTTTGATACAGCTCAAGGCTCTTTTACTCACTTGTAATTTCTTTATTTACCGGAAAGAATGTCACATTGTTCGATAAGTGATCGTACAAAATATATTCTTCAACATCTGAATATAATTGAGAATTTTTTGAGAGTAATTGTCGTTTATCGATATAGAAATTTGCAGTTATTTGAGGATATATTGATTGTAAAAACTTGAAATCTTGTTTTGACAAAGATTTTGCTAAAATAGCAGTTGATACACGTTTATTTAGAACATGAACTTTGTTAACATAAGTAGAAATAGCCGATAAGAAACGTTCAGGATCTGTGCAAATATTATCTAATTGAAAACATAACTGAAATGAATCACCAGATTCAGTCATTTTATAATTTCTAAAAAAAAGTTAAAATGATGAGGAGAAAAACCAATGATTCAATCAATTTTCGAGAGGTAACTCATACTTATGCAATCCTTGAGTAAATATTGTCTTTACTAAATATAAACATGTATTCGCTGAAAACGAGTAAACAAATATAGGCCCGGCTGACTCATAAACATGTAGAATATCCTATGAATCTCTTAGAGAGCACTCAGATCATTTACGCTTACATTATCAAACAACATTTTCCTACCATATCAAATTTGTATTTTGTTTATTTATATATATATACATATAACCATATCGTCTATAATAACTGACTATGTACACATATAATATAATAGTAATAAATTTCTTCTCATCTTTTCTTTTTTACAAATAAAAAAGTTTATACCAACAAAACAAAAAAAAACATTATTTTTTATTCTTGTTCATCTATCAACATCTGTATACACAACTTTCTTCAGAAGATAAACACATAGCGTGTGCACCAAAGAATTGTATTCATTAAAACAAATAAACAATAACAAAAGAATTCTTTAGTTTCATATCAGCACTATTCATGGTTAAAAAGAAAGAGAGAAAGAAACAAAGAAAAATACGTACATAATAAAACAAATAATTAGAACTCTGTTTTTATTTCACAACATCTTTGGAAGGGAAAAAATAACTGCACACAAACTAAATGCCAGAATAAAGGAGGTGATGTAGAACGCTTAGGTACTTACACTTTAGGTTTAAAAATACACAAACATCTTTTTAGCACTCAAAGTTTTAGGCAAAAATTTATAATTTCGAAGCTTTCGTTGCCCATTGATGGTAGGTATGAAATCAGTTCTCATTAAAGTTATCAGTAATTTAATTACTCCATGAAGCTGCAGTAGTTCTATTTGAAAAAAAGATTTTCATACTTCTAGACAAATGTTATCCAGTTAGATGGGTTTTTTGATCAAATAAACAATCACCGAACTGACTGTAACAAATATTTAACCAGAGAAAAGAACAAAAAAAGAAAAGCGTCTAGAATGTGACTATTTGCGAACATTATATCTCTCAGAGTTTTCTGCCTTTCTATTAAGAAAAACTGATCATGAACAGTTTCTATCGAAACTTTTAAAATATACTGCTCAAAAATCCATAAGTACCAAAGATCCTAGTTGATTGTTGTTACTAGATGAAAATATTCCAATTATAAGAGAAAAATGCTTATAATTCCATATTCGAGACAAATGCCGGTTTATCTTAAATCCTCTGTATCTTCTTTGGGAGATACCAGGTAGGAGAATCTCACAAAAAGAGAGCCTTTCTCACTCAAAAATATACCACAAGAAAACTAATTTCAACAAAAAAATATATAAGTATTTGAGGAGGAAGAAAACAGATTTTGTTCAGAGTACTAAATGCTCACGTCAAATATTAACAGTAGCATAATTTAATTTGATGTTGTTATTTTTTGAATAAAAAAAAGAGATCAAGAATACAACTTCCTAAAGTTCATTTTTCTACAATAAGAAAAAGAAAAAGAAAACAACGTGTGCATGCTTTTTCATATCAAAATATATGTACACAAAGAAATATACAACAAAAACAACACACGGAATGTTTATTTTAGAGTAACATTTTTAAGTACTATTGAATAACCAAACGCATAGAAGAATGTTGTTGTTACTCTCTCATATTCCATCATTCACTGGTTAAAACTAACAAACAAACAAAAAAAGAAAAAAGAGATCAAGAAAACTGAGATCTTGCTGTGCAATGGACGCAATAAAATATAATAGCTACCATTTTCTGAAAGGAGAAAAACATCAGACAAATGCTTGAGAGGAATAACAAATGCAGTGTTTAATCTAAAATAAGTTATACACACACATACCCGAAACAGAAAAAAAAGTGTATTTTCACAGATATACGAAGTAGCCTGGTAAAAAAAACAAAAAAGCAGAATTCACGGAAGAATGTAGATATCTCTTGTTACACAACCGGAAAATGGAATGAAAACAAATGGAAGAATGTATAACGAAACAAACGAGAAACAAAAACAAAACAAAAAATAACAGCAATATCTGCGTTTTGGATTGAAAATCAAAAAGAACAATGAAACATTCATTGATTAGATCATTTTTTTTTGTTGATACAAATATCAGTACTAAAATGAGAAAATTGAAAACTAGATAAAGGATATTTTCGAAACTGATATTGTACTTACTAAAACATGAAATCATGCCTCTATTTTCTAATATCAGAATTTAATTTTGAGTTAGCTAGAGCTAACGCCGCATTTAAATGTTGATTAATTGCGGGTGGCACCATTGTTGGTGGATTTTTGGATTTCGATTGATATTGAGCATGAGTTGTTGGCGGTGCAGTCATGAGTAGTGTCTGATTCTTTGGTGGACGCCCTGGTCCTCTTTTCTTTGGTTGTGAATTATCATTTCCAGATGAGGATATTGGACTTGTTGATGTAGTTTTGGGAGGTGTCCAGTGAGTTGTAGGTTGTGCTTGTGTAGCATGTTGATGATGTGATCGAGAATGTCCCGAATGTTTTAACAATGAAGCCGGTACACCATTTCTTGCTAGATGAGATGTATGTGTTTTTAATGATTCAGAATTCAATAAAGATTGAAATGCGCTTAAAGATGAAAATGTTGACGGTTGATGAGAGCCATTTGATGATTTAGCTGCAAATGTCGATAATAAATCTAATGTCGACGACGTCGAACGATCTGACGACATAGCAGATAATAATTGTTCGTAGGGTTGAATATGTTGATTTTCGTGGTCTAAACAGAAGAACTAAATAATCACAGAACACTATAATTAGATCGGCATATAAAAAAGTGACAAAAGGAAAAGGCTTTATCCCTATCGTTTCTGTTTTGAGTACGTGCTCATACCTGTTATCGAAGATGATGACGCAGCAGTCATGGCAGCCAAAAATGCAGCTGAGAGTGCCGTAGGGTCATTTGTTCCTGATGCAGATTGTAAGACATCCGATAAATGTGGACGTTCTGTTACGTATTTTGGTGGTCGACCACGTCGTCGAGGAGCAAAACCACGTAATGGATCAAAACTCGAAGAGGAGGATGGAGGTGGTGATAATGATGGATTTGTTTGTGTTTTGAATACAGCAGGACGATCAGGCTGCGAGGTTTGTTTAGTAGCAGTAGGTTGTTGTTGTTTTGATGACGATGATGATGAATGTTTACCATTCGGTACATTGGTACTTGACCTCATTGGAGCTAAAATGCAGTAAAGGAGTAAGGTTAAGATTTAGTTGATTAATCAAATCAGCCATGAGGTAGACCAAAAGGTTTCATTTTAGAATATAAACATAAAAAGAAATTTTGTAATTCATTTTTTAAGAGTCTATTATACATTGTTTTTGAAGTCGTCTTGTGCATTTACCTAAACTTGTTCCTATTTGTTGTTGCTTCGGAGGTCGACCAACTTTATTTGACGATGGCTTCTGCTGTTGTCCAAGTAACTGAGATTTGAGAATGGAACTAAACGGCATTTCATCTACAGGTGGTGCAGCATTTGAAGCTAACATTTGCGCCATCTCCCATAACATTTGGGTATTTTGTTTTGCATTGAAGGCAGTTGCATACTCAGACGCAGGATTTGTAGACGATGTTTTTTGTCTTTTAGCTTGTGGTTGAGGTAAATCATGTGATTGGGTTTGTTTTTGTCTGTCTTGATTGTCAATTTGATGTTTCATTAACTGTTGCTGTAATTTTAACTTGTGATGTTCTTGAGAAAGTTGTTTTTGTTGGTTTAGATGCATCAATTGTTTAAACGTTGATAATAATGGAGAATTTGAATTTGGTAATGAAGAGGATTTTTGATTCGATAATTTACTAAAAGAAAATTGTTACTGATACAAGAACATTTTCGCTGATCAGACGTATTTATTACATACCTTGTATGATTATTATCACTTGTTGATTGCTTTCGTTGATTTTGATTGAATTTTTCGTGTTTAGTAGATGGTAACTGTCCAAAATTTTTAGCGGCATTTTGTTTGTTTGCTGACTTTTCTTTTGTCGGTGGTGTAACAGCAGCGGCTGCCAACATTAACATCATTTTTCGATGATCCATTGTCTGTTGTTGCTGTTCTTCTTTTTTAAAGGTTGTTGGTTCTTTATTTTTCTGTGGTATAGGTGTTTTTTTAATTTGTTGTTGTCTATATTTTTTGTGCACTGTTTCAACAATTGATTGTAAGACATTTGTTACAATATCGTCGATATCATCACGACCACTACCATTTTCATATTCTAAATTCTCGTTTTCATCATTATAATTTGTCGTGTGTATAAAATATTTTTGATGATGTCCATTTTGTTGTTGTCGTTGAATGAACTCATCTTCTTGTTCCTCGTCATCTTCACTTTTGATATATCGGTCATCATGAGGTAAAACTCCATTTCCATTATTTGTATGATGAGAATTATGATTATTATTGTTGTTATTAATAACAATTCGTTGTTTTGCAATTTTAACATGATTATCTCGATGCAACGTATCTAAACGTTTTGGTACGCCTTTACGACGAGCCTGATGTTGTTTTAAATCTTCACATTTCGGTATGAGTGATACAGCAATGGGTGTTGTTAAGTAATTTTGCGAAATAGCTCGATTATTTTGAGCCTTGCTTGTTGTATTATTACTCTCATACTCTTCTTGATCACCATCACCCATCCTTATGACAACTTCTTCTTCTTCTTCTTCTTCTTCTTCTTCTTCTTCATCTGCTTCGATTTCCAGATCTCCGTCTCCATTCTCATTCTCGTTTTCTAATTCCTAAAAGAAGAAATTATGTATAACTGATGGTGTACCAAACTTATTTTTTCAATACAGAGAAAATGAAGCAGTTAGCAATTAATAATGCGTTAAAACTTTTCCCTCAACCTGTCGTGGAGAATGAGCTAGTATTTTTCATGCCAGTAAAAATACATCTTACTATTTGTTTACATTCTAGCATGAAAATAAATAAAAAAGCTTACTTGTTCAATATCTCCTTGTTTTAAATTTTGATTAATTCCGAAATTCTTCGATTCATCATCCAATTCATCGTCGGATACGATTTCTTCATCTTCTTCGTACTCTTGATCAAATTGATGACCACTTCCACGATTTTGGTCTTCATCTTCTTCCTCAACATCTGACTCATTAATCGCATCACCAAACTCCGTTTTTGATGATGATAAATTAATTGCTTCATCCATTTTAAAAATTTGTTTTGGTATAGAGATCATAATAACAACAAGACATTGAATAAAACGTTAAAAATGAGCATAAGGTAAAAAATTGTGTCAGACTAAAATGCGAAGGCGGTTTCTCTCGGATGAAGAAATCAAGAATTAAATACGCAAACTGTATCTAAAACTCATATTACAAAAAATACAATTCTAAAGAAAAACAATGATAGAGAAGATTCTATCCTGTAACGCTGTTCAAGTCTTTCGAATACCTCATATAAATGAGAAAAGAATCCAATAAAAAAGATTAAGATAACTGTCAAGATAAAATGCTAGGTTTCTTTAAATGATTATCCTAAAGTATGAGAATAATGTTGCTTTCTCTGCTGTTAAAGTTGGAATACAGAAACATACTTGCAAACCAAAATCCAAAAAAAATCATTGTCATATATATATAAATATATATATATACACGTTTTGATTCCTCAGTATCATACAAACTTATTTCATTTTATTTTTTTGTTTTAATTTTTCACACATTTCAACAATGTGTGTTTTGTGCTTTTGTTTAAATTTCCATCCTGTATCTTGTTAATATCCAAGATTTATTTTGTTTTCTTCTCTCACTACTGTGTTTTGTTTCCCTAGCCCAATTAAATGTTTTATCTTTTATTACGAATTTTTGCTTTATTTCTGTTTAGGTCCCTATGTTAATTTTAGACGAGAATTCAATATATACTCGATAGATATACATATTTAAAATAAAATAAAAATAAAATAAAATAAATGTATATTATTCTTTTTCTTTCGTTCCTGTCCTGTTCTGTGTGCTTTGGTTTGCCACAATGGACATCATAGACGTCTATGGGTAAAACAAAGATTACTGAATAGTATAACGGAGCCACATTACACGTGAGTGCTCTGTTCTGTCAAAACATTTTGTTAAATTTTCAATTAGATATTCAGCTTACAGTTAAAAAATGAGCTAATTTTGAAAAATAGCTTGTGTAAGAATGATGGTTTTGTAGTAAATGTTGAACTAAAGCTACTGCAGAAACGTGTAATATATCGATATGTCACTATTGTCGGTTTTTTTCTTTACTGATAAAATAGTCAACAGAAGATTAATTTTGAGAAGTTTAAGGGAAGTTGATTAATCATTTGTTGCACACTAATCACTATGGCCGTTGTTATGGTGCTCAACGATAAAAATGTCATATTTTCCCTCGTGTATACATACATCAACAGTCGTGGTTATCTCTCTCTCTTCATCTGCTGATACAAGACACATGGATCAATCCAAACGACCAGTCACTATTTCGCCGGAGTTTCTCCTATATGCTGAAAAACATTCCTTGTTTGAACTCTTTCAGGTATGAGGAGTTGTTGGTGTACGGACGATCTGAAGAGTCAGTAGAAAAGTTTCATTTGCTAAGTTGCTATGAAATAAACAAAATATCATTTAAAGCTGATGATAGAGCAGAAGAGGGTCACAAATACTGGGAGGGTGCGCACCGTCCAAATGAATGAATATTAGCGTGTTTTTCCACTGAAAGGTTATTAAAAAATTAGTTTTTTCACAGTGCTTCTACAGATTTCTACTTCACGGACTATCTTTATTTGATTCACACTGCTTCTTAGTTTTACATCCTTCTAATGTTTGACTCCTACTTGCGGCACTGGAGAAGAGTTAAGAGCCACTTCTATCTGCTGCTTCAAAGTTCTTTTACAGAGATTTCTCTGAACAGACTGTTTTTATTGTAGTCAATTTTATTATTTCATTTAGCGCTGCATATCTTCGTTGCTTGTTGAGCGCCCAAGCGATCCTATTACGTATCTGGTTGATTTATTGAAGAAAGATACCGATGGTTAGAAATCCTTACAATTCTTTATTTATGAGGAGAACATTTTATTGTGTTTTTTATAGCTCCAAAAATCGTTATCATTGGTCCACCCTCGTCTGGCCGTAAAACACTGGCAAAATTATTGTGCAAAAAACTAAACACCATCTTGATACAACCTGAAGATCTATTAAGTGAAGCGCCAAGTAAACTGAAAGATAAACTTCCACGAGATCCAAGTTTAGTAGGTTAATTCTGTTGTGCAGCTGTGACATCAACGAAAAATGTTTTTTTTGATATAGGAAAATGTCTCAGCAACATTATGGGCTCAATTATACGATGAACGCTTGAGAGATTTCGATTGTATACGTAGGGGATGGGTTATTGTCGGGTTTCCAACAACAAGAGAACAAACATTAGCCTTGCAAGCAAAGGGTGTTTGTCCAAAACATGTAGGTAAGATCTTCTTTCAGCTAATGTAAAACAAATAGCAGGTGTATCATTTTTTTGTTTTTGTTTAAGTTTGTCTGGAAGCTCCAGACAATGTCATGGTGGAACGAGCTGCAGGAAAACGCGTTGATCCTAGAACAAAAGGTATGTGAAATACATTATGTCGTACTAAAAAACAGGATAAAATTTTATAGAATAACGTTTATGTGAACATAAGACGTTGTCGCTTTGTTCAGTGCAGGCTTCGTATTTGTCCTGTTTTTCCTGAATTTTGACGTTTTTCTGCAGTTTTACTGTTTACCGGGGTGAAATCTGTTAGAAAGTCTCTGCATCTTACGTGAATCAAATCAGCGATCCATATCTACGATTATGTATAACTATGTTTGAATGCTGTATAAAATTTTTTAAATAAACGTCAAGTGAATGTTTAGTTTATGCCTAGCAATACATTATTTAACACATTGTGATAAATTTCACTTGCCATTTTTCGGCATTCGCTTATTTCTTGTGTTTCTCAAAAAAGAATTATTAACTTTCCTATTTTTCGAAGGAGAAAAATGCTCTATTGTTCCTGTTTTTTGGAAGTGGATAGTACAAACTCTGCCAGTAATATGTCATTCAAGTTTTGAGAAGCAGTTTTTTCATCATCTCTTTCGTATTCCGCTTTCTAGAAATCTATCACATTACATGGAATGCACCGAGTAGAGATGTTGAAGAACGACTCGTTTTTCCAGAAGAAAGTTCAGAAAAAGCTATGCATATGCGATTAAAAGATTATAGAAGGTAAATGCACAAATCTCTTGTCAATATTGACATCCGTTGGTTGTCTCTGATTATTTTTAGAAATATCGACGGTATCAAAGATTGTTTTAAATCTGTGAGTCGCACAATAAACGCCGATCAGCCAATGAATGATTTACTCTCACAAGCCTATTCATTTGTCTCGAAAAAAGCCCGCTCAGTTGCACCACGTACACCAAGAGTAGCTATATTAGGACCAACTGGTTCTGGAAGAAAATCAGTTGCGGCACAAATATCAAGAAAATATGACATACCAATTGGTGAGAATATAAATTTAATTTCTTACACAATTTTCGATACACGAGCACTGAGATTTGAGTACTTTCTTTAGTATCAATTCCAACACTGATAAAACAACAAGTTGTTAATAAAACAGCTGTTGGAAATGCCATGAAACCTTATGTAGAACGACAAACATTTGGTATGTACTCCTCATACTATTTATCGTTCCCCTGCTCGCCTAGCTTATTTTTCTTTTAGTACCCGATAGTTTATTATTGCAAATAATTCGTGAACGTTTAAGTCAATTAGATTGTGTGACAAAAGGATGGATACTTATTGGATTCCCGCGAACACGAGAACAAGCTGAAAGTTTAGCAAGATCTGGTTTTCAACCAACTCGGTAAACAATGAATGATGTAAAAGTTTCTTCCTTTTTCTTATGAATACTGTTATCCTATGATGCTGTCTGCATAAGAAGTTAATTTGTGTTTAGTGAACGGGCTAACTCTTTCCCCAGTTTTAGCGTATTTAGAGCCAAGAATTTTATATTTACAAAATACGTTCTACATGCTTAAAAGTCATAATGTTCATCTGCGAGTCACATGGGTTCTTGACGTCGACGAGCATATATGTGAAATTATGTGTTACTTTTTGCCTCATTCATCCATAAAAGAGGACTACCTACTGGAATCGGCCAAGGACACAAAGATGTTCAGGAGATCTCAAAGCGATGAAAACCATACTTGCCCTTCGTTTCATATCCGCCTGATCACAAAAATGACTAGCAACCCAACAACTTTCTAAGATAGTATGAGGTTCTTTGTGTTGAATTACCTATAGTCTGTAAGATTTAGCCGTTTGTAGCATTTTCATCATATGTTATTCAATTTTTAAGTTCTCTATGAAGACAAAAATTAATTTCTTACGCCATGCCATAGGGTAGCAGTATTCAAAGCAAAAAAGGCAGAAAATTTGCACCAATCGTTATTAATTTGAAAAGTAATTAATAAGTTCTGAAGTTGTTTTTGCTTTAATTCAGGGTATTTTTCTTGGATATCCCTATTGATATAGCCATTGAACGATTAACAAATCGCCAGTTAGATCCTATCACTGGTGAACGATATCATTCACAAGATAATCCACCATCAACACAACAAACTAAGTCTCGTCTAATTAAGCATCATCAGGATGACGAAGAAATTGTACGAAAACGTTATCAGGCTTATACTATTTATTTTGATGAATTGCAAGAATTATATTCAGATGCCTTACATATTAGCGCTGATCAAGATCCATATACCGTATTTGAAGCAGTCGAAGCGGGTATTGTTAATCCAGTGTCTAAAGATGGAAATTATTAACTACTAACTGGGATTTACAGTTGCTGCTTTTTTCCGCCATCTAATATGAATAAATTGTGCTTTATTCCATAATAGTGACACAAAATCAAACCACGATATCGTAACAGCATCATAACACTTTTCGCTGACAGGATGAGAAACTATTTTGAATGATTAAATTATGTAAATGACAGATTTCATAATCTATATCAGCCATCAATGAAAAAACGTGTCTTTTTACTAGAATTTCGTGTATATATCTAGTAACGTTGGTAGTGCTACGTAACCGATAAAATTACTATCCTTCCCAGCTCAGGTGAAACTCTTCTGACGAAAATTAGTTAGAAAAATGCGTAGATTTTTTCTAATTTCAAGGATGTACGGTTGAGTTTATATATACACAGATTCGAGACTCTTGAGCAGTCTTATTTGGTTGAACAGTTAATTGATGAACAGAAGTGGCGAATTTGATTCCATAAAGCTGACACATATCTTTTTCTGTAGAGTTCATCAGTATAGGATCATTTGGTAACTTTACGTCTACTCTCTATAGCAACCATTTGTTCCTCATAAAGAGCTTGCTAACGTATTAGAATTGAAAATACTTGATCATTGATATTTAATGATAAGAAATCACCAGCTCGAGTCGAAAATAGACGTTTAATGACTTTAATAAACGAGCGTTGTGTTTAATACAATGAATGATCTGAATGCTAACAAACAAACTATCTTTTTTTGGATCGTCGTACACTTTCAAGTCGGTATCGAAGACACGATATCTTGAATGCTATTCAAATAGATGAACTGGTGTTTACAAGTAATAGACTAAGGCAAGACGAAACCAAGTTGCAACCTTTAGTTCCGTCGTAGCAGTTGTTGCCGATAATTGTCTCATTCATCGTTTTCTTTTGCCTTTCTCTTTCGTGTATGCCTTTCTTGAAAAGAGAAAAACTCTCATGTGCAGTAAACAACAATCTTAGATACTTTGAAAATTGAACATGATTGCAAAAAGTTACATCGACGTTTTTCTACTTTTGGTAAATTTGATTTCTATTTGTCCACATGCTGATTCACTAAGCTTGTAAATCGACGTTGATATTTTAGAGAATGGATTTGGACTATGTGTAAAAGCAGATTCATTTTTCTAAAATATCGAACTGCTTTTACGGAAAATCAAAGCGGTTCTCTTGTAAAACGTGAAATCCTTGAAAGTTATATTTTTGAAAAACTAGAAAATCACCACATTTGTATCCGGACAAATTGTTAAATCGCTTGTTTTTCAATTTAGTATCATCGAAAATATATTAAAAGAGATCGATATGGAAACGTTAACAGCACAGTCCTCTTTTTTTATACATTGTAAATGATGCTAGTCTTTTTTCCTCTTCTTATCTTCGTTTTTTTCACAAACACGAAATTCCACTGTGAATGGTCATGACTCAACATAAAACAGAACAAATTTTCGAATAGACCATTAAGTTTGAGGAAGTTGAGACAGTAAATGGGCTCAGATGGTGACGAAAATCAAGAATGACTAAGAAAACGAGCCCAAATTTCATAAAAATATAGACCTTTCGTTTTGTACCGTCAGCAGCCTAACAGTTTAATCAATAATTTCTTCAGCTGACATAATTTGAAAGATCACACCTACCTACATATTTCTGAAAAGTTGTTGAATAAAAAGCTTTTCCTAAAGTATCTAAAAAACTTAAATTAAAAACTTAAATTTTTTCGAAATATTCTTCATTTTGAAATATAAATATCTTGGCTAGCATAAAACATAAACAAAATATATTTTTTAGCATTCGATAGCCATTCACACTTTTGATGTTCACTTCAGCCCCTTCAGATTTTTTGCGATTTTGATCAACCAAAACTGGTGCATGCCTGTTCATCACACACGTTATCTTTTTAAAACTCGAATAATTACCGTATAATTAAAGAGTTCGTCATTTCCTATGAAATCAGCCAACAGTTACTGATTAAAATAAATACATGGGTGAATAAGCTAATGAGATTACTTTCAAAGTACAATTATTGATCACACAAAGATCTCCAATGCCTTTCTCAGAAGAGTTTTTAAAACTTCTGAAATCTCTGAAATGTTTTTTTATAAAAATCCTTGTACTTGCTTACAGTGAATGTGATGCTCTATTGTTAACTTTTAACTAGTTTACTGATTAGCCCGAACGAAATTTATTTATTAGAAATAGGTGTATTTTCAATTGTATCCTAGTCTATTTAAAACACAAAGTTTTCTAAAGTCCATTTTTGAAAATTTTCGATTTACTCCAAAATCGGAGGACCCCCCTCCCTGCTTCTTGTAATTCACGACGTCCCTGTCATAGTATGAAGCACATAGTGACCGGCTCAATCATGTCACTTATATTTGATCCGAAACGTTTCAAAGAGCTGAGAGAGATAATCGCATGGGAAACATCGTAAAAAGAAACGCGAATGTATGTTAAATCGTGTCTCGATCGTTACCAATGATTATACCTCCTAGTCTGTTACCAGAGGCTCTTATGTTCATTTCCTGGTCGACTTGGTACCAGACACAAGGAATATGTACTATGTCAGTGTACACTCTCTAATGCAAATGTTGCTATGTTATGTCTTTATTTTAGAAATTTTGTCCATGACATTGTTGTTGTTCATTCGTCTTTTATGTTCAATTGAGAATAATGTGAGTCTAAATTTGCCCATCGATATCAAAGCTGAATATGCTCGTAAAACATTAAAATCTTTGAACGAATGAATTCGATACTTTGAAAAACATGCAAAAGAGTTAAACTTAGTTGATGTATACGGTATACGTTTAGCTCAAGGTCACTTATTTCTGCCGAATGATTATTTGACAAAATCCAATTCCCAATATACTGATGACAATTTATACATCAAAACGTTAGCTGATAAAATAGATTTGATTGCAAACAAATCATTGGCAGAGGTTAAAATTAATCCTTTCGACTATTATAATCTATTTGTACTCGTTGTATCCAAATCATTTATATGTGAATATAAACAACGTTCAACTCATGAACATTTGATTCGACAAGACAATTTAGATTCAAGATTTAACGAAAACGTATCTGACGAATGTTTTGCTGAAGTATTGGGCACAATAAGTGAGACTAATACAAAAGAATGTATAATCGATGAACATTGTTGGAAGATGATGACAACTGATAATCCATAAGGTTATAAACTAACACATTAGATACGCATAGAACATTTTCCAGTTGCTATATAAAGAGTGAATCGATCGTTGTTAGTTCTTATTGTTATGTAGTTACTATGGTTTATAATAGCTAAAAATATTGGATGTATGGACGGACAATCAGAGTTCATCACCATTGGCTAACAAACAATTGGAACATTTAGAAGACAAATTTTGTTCAAATACTTATCGTGATACAGTGTCAAATGAAAAATAAAGACGACATCAAGATTTATTTTTAAAACAAATTCTTTTATGTTCAATATTGAGCTATGAAATTTTATAAACTTAAAATGATTAAACGATATTCTCTACTGGCAACAGCCCAACAGAATGTTTCTCGTACAAATCAGAGCAGTTTACAATGAATAAGCAATGATTTCAAAAACGACAATCATTATTTGAACAAGAAATGTCAGATTAATGTTTGTTACATAAAAGTGACCCAACTGCTAGGGTGCTAGCTGTGTATCTAAAAGCTCTGTTACAGTAACAATAAAATAAAAATAGCTTAGAACCAATTCTTATCAATTATTTCATGAATTTTCCGAAATGTTTCTCAAGATCGATAGCATATACTATTAAGAATAGAGAAAATGTAATAAGAAAAGATATATTTGATTAAAAATATATGAATGTACAGCTAAGGAATTTATGCAAATATTCATAGAAAAAACACTTTGAAAAAAACAGAAGCGAACAAATCATAGTCATTCAAAATGAAATTGCGATACAATCGTCTACAGCACCAAAAACAATGAGTTCTTTTTATTTGTTTTGGCGTATATATATCAACAGTATGTATTTTAAGCAAACTATATTACTGTTTAGCTCCTTATGATACAATATTCCATCATCACCATTCTTTCATCGTTTTCCTCACTAAGTTTAACTCTTTTGCATGTTTTTCAAAGTATCGAATTCATTCGTTCAAAGATTTTAATGTTTTACGAGCATATTCAGCTTTGATATCGATGGGCAAATTTAGACTCACATTATTCTCAATTGAACATAAAAGACGAATGAACAACAACAATGTCATGGACAAAATTTCTAAAATAAAGACATAACATAGCAACATTTGCATTAGAGAGTGTACACTGACATAGTACATATTCCTTGTGTCTGGTACCAAGTCGACCAGGAAATGAACATAAGAGCCTCTGGTAACAGACTAGAAGGTATAATCATTGGTAACGATCGAGACACGATTTAACATACCCTAGTAAAAATCTTAGACAATTCTTAAAGTTATCTTACTAAGATCTTATACGATCTTATCCTTTAAGATTTTGATAAGATAATCTACGATTTTATCGTTTAAGATCTTAATAAGATTTAATGACTCTGCTTTCATTCATTGTTTTTCTCTCATTCATCTATATAAGCGACCGAAAATATGAGGGATTATTCGGTTATTTTTCTGCTAGCCCCTGCTAGTACTTGTTCTCTCTCTCGAGTGTTTTAAGAGAGTGCACATGTAGGTTAAAGTCCATAGTTGGACATCTGAAAATATGAAATTTCTCTTCATTCTTCATCACTGTTCAACTGCTGCTTTGGATAATCCGTATTAAAACTTAAAAAATTCTCAGTGCATCTCGAATGAATATATGAAAGCGTTATCGTTCTTACTATTAAGATCCTAACATTCTTATCTCTTGAAAAAGTTTTAGACAGTACAATCTTAGTAAGATTTCGCTTACATTTGTCTAAGATCTTAGAAAAATCTTATCAAATCTTAGAATTTTCGGGTCTCACAATCTTAGTAAGATTTGTCTAAGATCTTAGACAAATGTAAGCGAAATCTTACTAAGATTTTAACAAGATTTTTCTAAGATCTTAGTAAGATTTGAGTAAGTTTTTCACTATTATACATTTGCGTTTTTTGTACGGTGTTTGCCCATGAGATTATCTTTCTCAGCCCTGTAAAACTTTTTTAAAAAAATAATACGGTAATTAGTGGTGAAACGAGAAAAACGACGGTAGTCGGCGCCATAGTTTTTTTCAAACATCTGTTTAGGGTAGTGTAAGTTTTTTTATTCGATTTTATACTTTTTCTCGGTGGCACGGCAAAAATTCCCGGCGGTATGGCACCACCGTACTTCGTCGTACTGTGGTTACGCCACTAACGGTAATATACGTAGTATTTTCTTATATAATTTTTTCCACAGTCTTTCTTCTTTTTCCGAATAAAATACGTGTTTTTCTTTCATTAGTCTTGCATTGTATGTTGTTCTTTTGCTGGAAATCGTTCGTTTTTGGAAAAATATGATTGATTCTGCTTGAAATGAATGTTATATAAGGGATTTTGCCATTTCTGAGTCTCACTATAGGGATGTACCAAATAAGATGTCTTTCCTTTCTTTTCACTTCTTGGCAATTCTTAGCAAATGTGTGCGTATGCGTCGATTCTATAGAATATAATTTTTGTTTAAATTAGCACAATTCTAGAAGTAGAAATGGATTTAATATCCATCTGTATCATTCACTTGTAAATTCGCTATGTTTGAAAATGAATCTTTTACTATCAACTATGATGCGCAATATCATTTTTGAAAACAAAAACTTAATAATCTTTCATTGTAAGAATGATCAATAATAGTCATCGTTATTCGTTATCATCATCTGATAATAAAGTCGTAATAAAATGGAGTTTATTATTAAAAAGATACAAAACAAATAAAGAAATATTGAAATCCTTTTAGAATGGAATTCATAAAAAGAAATTAGTACTAGATCATGCCATGTATTTATTAGTTATTCGTGTTTGCACTAATATAAGAAATATAGAAGAAAAAAACGAAATACATAACATGATAAATAATAATGAAGATGATGTAAAAAAGAATATTAAAGGACAAAATGCATTATCACATGTATATGAAAAATGTTGTGACATTATAAATGCTGAAATAATATTTAATAATATAAAAGAAGATAATGTTAACACATTTAACGTACTGATGAAAGGACATAATTTTAATGAATTGCCCAAAACACAATTGATTATATGAGCAAATAATTAAAAACCAAATTCAATCACGCAATATTACTTATAATTTGATATTTGAAGCATGTGGTAAATGTCAAAATCATTCATGAATGTAGTCAGAGCCACTGCATATCCTCTGTTTTATATGTTAGACATTATGCCATGTTTGAATCTAAGCTATGCGAGTTGGAAAAACATCGTTTCGAAAATACTGCTTCATATGTGTAACTAATCCGTTTTGTCTTAATTTTACAGTGAGGAAAAACCGATCATCAAGAGCCAATAAAACTGATGAGTAATCGAACGATTAAGCAATCATGATGGAAATTGAACAATATATATATATATATATATATACCTTGATTTACCGTATAAACTGAGGAAGTCAGATCGTTAGAATTCTCAATTCTCTGAGATTCAACATTCTTTTTATTCTTATAATTGACGCTGTTCCTAACAAGGTCTGTAAATTTTAGGTAATTATCATTTTGTCTAAAAAGTTCAGAATTTGTTAACTAATTTTGCCAGATCTCGCTGATATGTTCTGTGAAATCCACGTTGTTTTTTGTGTATGTCCTGAAAATTTCATCACAAAATTTTCAATAGCTCTCAAGATATAAAAAAAATGCCTAAACCCAATTGCTGTCAACAATCTGCTAGTATAGAAAAAATTAATTTTCTACGGAATAAAACAATATTCTGGAAATATGCCGTGTACCTTTTTTCCATAAGTCCAATTGTTAAAATGAAAAAAAAATTGTTAGCTAAAAGTTATTATGCCTGGGGGTTTTATTGGCTTGCTATCAGCATTGGAGCATGTTGTTTTATCCTGCCCGTGTTCCGTGTATTTTGCCCCTAGTTTTGGTGGTAAGAATCTTCTTTTTTTCTCAGTTTCAGATGAAGAATTAGAGAAAAATAGTTTTGCAATTTTAGAAAAAGAATAAAAGGATGAATTTTAATTGTTTTTGAAAATTTCTTTAACATTGACCTAGTATAAAAAAACCCACTGTTTTGAAATTTTCTAACCTAAAACCGCTTTTAAAAATTTAAATTCAATGTTTTCCTGTGCAACTCGATGTGCTCTATTCAACCACGTCAAAAAAACGAAATCAAAATCTTATACTACTTCTGAATTGCCGGCATCTTACTTATAAGACTGGGGTTTGTGTAAAAACTATGAAATATAGATAAACGGTATAGAAAAAAACATCACCTGATTGATTTTTTCTTTACTATTTATCTGTTGCTAGTTCTACTCATTCTCCTAGTAAAAATCTTAGACACTTCTTAAAATTATCTTAGTAAGATCTTATCCTTTAAGATTTTGATAAGATAATCTAAGACCTTAATAAGATTTGATGACTTTACTTTTATTCACCCTTTTGTTTTGTTTTCATTCATCTGTAGAAGTGACACCAAACCTATGACTGGTTTTACGGTTATTTTTCTTCCAGACTCTGTTAGTATTTGGTGCCTCGAAAGTGTTCAATAACTTTTCAGAGAGAGTACATGCAGGTCAAGGTCCATGATTGGACACCCGAAACCCTAGCAGAATCCGCGTTTCATTGCGCGTCGCGAAGCCATAGTAATCTTGCCACAATCTTGCCGCGCAATACCCAATTTGAATCGCGGGCGCACATATTCGTGAATTTTTCGCGTTCCGCGAAAACGTTACGCTTGTGTCCGGAAACAGTTCGCTACAAGAGCGCGATTGAGTTCGCGACAAGATGATGCCTAAATTTGCTTGTTTCGCCGCATGATCATTATTGAAATCGACTGTTTCGCGACAGGAACGTGTTCAAACTGCTTATATCGCGGCAAGATCTCGGCTTTACAGCAAACCATTTCAGGATGATGTATCTGTAAGTGTGAGCACTGTTAGAAGCTTTAAAAGGTTCTCAAAATCTACTGATTTTACCATGTTTTACCCGGTTTTTTCTTCGGGAACATAATGCAATCAAGGTGAATCATTCCTCATATACGCAGTTTCGCCCAGTCTTTCAAAGTATATGTTTAGTGGTAAGATTAAAGCTGTCTTTTACCTACAAACGAGTAAAGTTAGTAAATTAGTTTCAGTAATTCAATTTTTAATTAAATTAACTGTTGGTGAAAGCAGAATTTATGCATCAGATTGCCTATGAATAGGATAACGATAATATGATTTTCTCTACAGTTTATTGCACCATATAACATTATGCAATCCTGTGAAACTGTTTACTGTTGATAATAGCTTCATGCTTATGTAAAATGCTTATTTTCAGTTTGTACATTCATACATTAAGCAGCTAAATCCAAGTACAATGTCTAAATATTCATAATGCATTTAACATTGGAGTATTTATTTCTCTTCGGTTCACTTTTTTGAACAGCTATGCGTCTGCCTCATTTATCTGAAGTAAATTTTGTCAAACGCTACTTTAGTCTTAATTCAATATTACAAACAAAATTAGTGATTCGTCCAATATTCAGCATATATTATTCGTTTCAGGTTAGTGTGAGAGTATGGACCTTTAGCACAACATGATTCTTGAGAAAACTAAAAGGTTTGGTCGATACGTGTAATAAAAAAAATTTTTTCAATAACCTTATATTAAGTTATATCAAGAGCTTTTGCGGGCTACAAAATGTGTTGTTTCAAATTAACTCATTGAAGAAGCAGACTTGTTTCTGACAATATACTTGAAGAATGTTGTTTACAGTATAGATTAAGATAAAGTAAAAATATGCTTTTTGAAAATCGTTTGCTTTGCTTTCTTGCTGAATGTATATAAACATAAGTTTTCACAAAAAAATATTTATATGTCGCTCGAAAGATCTATGTATTTTACAGGCTACAAACAGCGAAAAAAGAAATTTAAATATTACAAAGAGCTGACTAGAAAAACAATTAAACGAACTATGACGAGAAGTTCACTCTCCGTATTGTAAAAAGCAAAATCATAATCATTCACAAAAACAATAAGCTGTTTTTCCACTATCGATCCTTTGTACGATTCGTAAGAGTCAGCCGGGACGCATTCTCGTTCGCTGTTCTCCCTCTATTCTTTTTTTTTGATATAGTTACAGGTAAAGTTGATTTTTGTGACTTTCTATTCTTATAGTGTTAAACTAGCGCCGGCCAGGAAAAACAGCTCGTGTCTGTTACGAATCGTACAAAGGTTGATTGATAGAAGAAAAACAGCTTATCGTTATTGTGAATAATTATGATTTTACTATTTATAATATGAACAGTGAACTTCTCGTCATAGTCAGTTTAATCCTTTTTTTCATATATTTTTCGTCAGTCCAATCGATTATGTAGGTGGGTAGTGGACAAAGAATGCTTTTTTTTTGTTCGAGAAATCTTTTCCTAAGAGAAGGCGAGTGAATGAGATGACTATATAAAGCTTTGCATTTTTGTTTCTTTTCAAACGTACGTTCGTATTTATAATCGTCGAAGTATCTAAAAAATCACCGTATCATGAAACAATTCAGCCTGTGTGTTCTTTTGGTCCTATTGGCAGTCATTGAGAAAACAAGTAAGTATCAGACATACTTTAATGTATCAGTGCTTTTGAATTGGATGTGACATCGATTTAGGTGGTGACGAGACTGGTGAAGCAACATTCTACAATATAGAAGGTGCACCAACAGCATGTGGAGCAAATCATCAAGGTAGTGAATTGGTCGCCGCTTTGAACGCAGCTGAGTTCGATCCAGAGACGCACGGTAATCCGAATAACAATAAATTGTGTAATCGTCAAGTGGAAGTGAAAGGACCAGCCGGAACAGCCACAGTCAAAATTGTCGATCGATGTCCACCGAAATCAGCACCGGGTGTTGGCTGCGTCAAAGGTGATTTGGATTTGACACCGGCAGCATTCAAACTTGTTGGAGGTGATCAAAGTGTAGGACGAGTGAAAATAACCTGGAAATACGTTTAAGTGAATCTAACTGACTGTTTGAAAGTAATTTTGAGAATCTTTTTCAATTCGAAATAATCAATAAAAATTCATTTTCTATGTATGTGTGTATGGTTCTTACTTATCAATAAAACAGAATGAATATTTGCGCTAATTCTGCAATCTAAGAATTCTCAATTTTCACCAGTGATAAAAATCATTGTACACAATCTAAGATGGTACATATGTAACGCTCTTTATATGTATTTTATTTGATATGAAATTAAGTTCTCCGTACAAAAAAACGTTATACGCGATATAAAAATACTTCAATTTTTCCTTCCGCAAGTCAGCGGAATACGCAGGAATTTTTTTTCGAAAGAAAGCTTTTGATATGGCTAATGAAAAGCAAAATGTTCAAGGTTTGTAGGATAACTAATCCAATAACTACCCATCCGTATGTTCTATGATTCTAAACAGAGTCAGTTTTTGCTAGAATTTGACCGAACACACAGTATTATAGCGATATATAATAACGACAGCACCCTATCAGATACAATCGTGCAATAAACCAATAGTTCAAGATCCATGAGCTCGCTGGACGTGGTCTACGAATAACCGACGGTTGAACGACCAATATTTGAGCGATCCTTTATACATCTATATCCGTTGACCTTTTTTGCACTGATTTGCATGCTTCAACTATGGCTGCAGCTGGATCTGACTTACTTTATATGCAAGAGACTTTCTAGTAATTATAACATTTTGTCACACTAAGTTTCATCATGTAGATTTTCAGCTTCTTCAATTGTCTTCTTTGTATCTATTCCCTCCACTATCACCCTTCCCCTCGTCTGACGAGAAGCGTAAAATCTATTTGATTTTGTTAGTCACACGAAAAAAACGTCATATTGAAAAGCGGCAAATATTGATCGCTCAAACGTCAGTTGATGTGATACTTCATAGACATAAGTACATTATGACCCTTGACTAAACTAACAACCTTTTCTTCTGCACGAGATTTTGAAACAGGACGTTTAATTTTCTTCTTATACGGTATGTTGCATCATGAAAGTCAATCGATCATCTTATGATAAGAAGGTCTAACACATATTGTTATTTGATGATTGGTATAATAACAACAAAAGTGGTTATCACACCATCATGCGAATCTTATGAAATTGGGATAAACTCTGGCAACTGAAAGAACGTCGTGGTGTACGAGTACATCTGTCACATCATGATATAACATAATAAACTTTTATCTCATCAGAAACATAGATTGATCGATATCGTTTTGAAAAGAAAGTGACAATCTTCACCAGATTTATTTTTCACTTTGAATAGAGAGAGATCTTAGGATATTTAGGCTAATTTTAAATTTTTAGTTGTTGATCAACTTAACGTCTAGTGTTCTCTTGATAATTACATGATTAAAACTGAACAGAGTTTTTTCGATTTCAACCTATCGAATATGCGCATCATTAAAATCTTTGCGAAAAAACACTTTAGAGTTTTGAAGAACAATTTTTGCTTAAAAATCTCCCAGATTACAATTATTGTCTGAAATAAATTTTGACTAAAATCAATAAACAAAATGTTGATGGCAACAATAAAATCTATGATATTGATGCCTTTAACCCATGCAGAAAATATTTGAGAAACCTAGCGATTGAGTTTTTAAAATTTTATAAATTGGGCTTGGTTACATCACTCTGCTACTGTCGCGTTTTGCTTTGTTTCTTCAATAATTTTCGAATGAGGATATGCTCAGGGCTTTGCAATGTCTGAAACTGAAGAGAAAAAAATATGTCGAACATTTTGAGAACATTCTTCGACTGTGTGCGGTCTTTTGCATAGGAAACATGGCAAATTTATAAATGTATAAACTTTTTACTATCAAATTTTAAATACATCACATTGTACTCTTTAATTTGACTCAGATTAACAGAAAAATTGTAGATGTCTAAGTAGACTTAATTTTCTTAGTCTTTTATTCATAAGATCGTATTATAAACAGATAAACTGTCAAGATCAACCATTTTAATCGAAATAATAAGTTGTATAGACAATTTTTTTAACGTAGTTTTAAGATGAGTTTTAATCTCATAAGTTCGTATGAAGTTAATAGTACAAATCGTTTATTTTTAAAGCAAACGACAATTATACATATTTCATGAAAATTGATGATGATGATAGTCAATCATTTGATTGATTAGAAAAACATTCCAAACATGTTTTTTTGAAGAAAAAAAAATCAACCAAATTTTTTAGAGAAGAAAAATGTAACCGATACATGACATTAAAACGTATAAATGAATTAATAGAATCTGATAACGAATTTTTTCACATCCGGACAATAATAAATAGTATACAAAACAGAAAAAAAAATTTTCCAGACTGAAAAATTCTTGTATTATACTAGATAAATGACAAACAAATGTCTGGTACGTATTTATTTTTTATAAATAAATGATTCTAATGACATATATTAGTGGTAATAGATAGACATAGTTTATTTTCACCACATACACAGGAAATAATTTAAGAGTGTCACGTTCGATATCTTAAAAATTACGTCATCAATATCTTTAGAAAATTTTAACTTTATAAAACAATTTTTGGGGAAGAAAAATTTCTATACGATGTATGAAGTATATAATTCTTTCTCTCATTGATATATATATATATATAATTTGAATCTGATTTTTGGGTTAAATAGAAAAAAAATCTGTTTTTTCTCATTCTCTATTAGTGAAAGATATAGTTATTCATATCTTTCTAACGTTACTCAATACTACGCATCTATCTTGTAATAATGATTGACATCGGACAAAACAAGAGATAAGAATGGCAACTGGGAGTATTTTTTCTAAACAAAAATATGATTTATGTATTGCCATAAAATTTTTTTTTTTTTTTTGTTGAGAACTTGACTAATTAATTGAAATAACATAACATACTCTATATAGATAGATATACAAGACAGATAGACTCTAATTGTGGCATTTGTTGAATTGAATTATTATGTGTAAATGAGAATGAATAAAAGATATAGTTGACGTGAAGGTGAAATTAGTCGTATGAGTAAAAGAAATATGCACTCAAAATATCCAAAAATATGTTTTATTATAGAAAATACGAGGTTTGTTGTTTGAGATAAACATGAATAATGTAATGTACACCAATTTAGTTTTGTTTGAAAAGAACAATCGTTGTCTATGTATTTGAATTAAAAATTAGTCTATCAGTATGCTAATGGATGTTGTTGTTTTGTTGCTATATCTAAAAAAGCACTTTTTTCCAATTAGTTTAGATTTATTTTCAAATTATCATTAATAGCTTTAAAGTACACAAATATGTGGAAGTCTTATTTTTAAAAAAAAAAAGAAGTCATTTTTTTTCTCTTTCGCTTCGTCATCATTTTCTCGTTCGCTCTCTCGCTCTCTTTCTCACTTTATTATTTTTTTCTACACATATTCGACTATTGTTGATACTTTCCTATTCCTAATTATCTATACATGAAAGATTTTTTAATATTATTATATTAGCTAGCTTTTTTTTTTCTTTTTGGTGCCCTTATTAGATAATAATATAATTTTTGTATTAAATAACTACTAAAACATGAGATTTAGAACATAAGTATGAAGAAAATGCGTAATATCTAAATTATCTGTTAATGTTTCATATATAAAAGATCCATGATGTGTGTCTGATTTTTTAAAACTGAACAAAAAATATTTAATAGAGAACACGAGAGAATATAGTTATAATATGTCTATAGACAAATATATCATCTCAACAATGGGATGTATTTAAAATGATGAAAAGTAAAAGAAAAGTCCATTCTCAATATAATTGTTCGTATTCTCCTCCTTTGCTCTTGTTCCTTTCTTATTTCTCTATTTTTTTTTATTTTTTTATTCTACTGGTATATATTTCTATATCTCTTGCCTGATTGCTTTTTTTTCTCTGGTAGTAGTATTATTATCATTATTATTATTCCGATAGATATTCTTCCTTGCAACTATATGTACCAGTTACTTATTTACATATACATTTGGTGTGATTTTTTAACATAGGAAAAAACGAGAGAAAGAGAAAGAGAAAGAGAGAGAGAGAGAGAGGGAGAGAGAGAGATAGTTCCACTCTACCTACCAATTTTTTTATTATTACGACTAACCTCTTTATTATCAAACACACCGAATATTTATATTTGAATTATGGGCTCTGATTCAAGTAAATCGAAAAAGAATGCAACGACATTAACTGAAGAAGAAATTCAATTATTATTAAAAAATACACATTTTAATCGACAACAAATTAATGAATGGCATATCGGATTTTTGGTAAGCTTAATCTTTTCTTTTTATAAATTAAACAATTATTTAAATAGTTGGTGTATATTTATTGTGAATAGATTTTTTTTCTCAAGTAATTCATATCTAGTGAATATTCTTTAAAAAAAAGTACAACATATTAATATAATTATAGAAAATTTCATTAAAACTCAATCTTAGCAGAATAATAATAAATTAAAAAAATAGGCTAACAGCAGTTTTACATCCTTTATCAAACAATAAGACAGCAATTAATAAATAATAAGAGAAAATAAAATTTTATCATATTTTTTTATTTACTCTATTTGATTGAACTTTCTAAATTATAATATGGAAATTTTTATCGTATCTATTTCTCAAATTATCCTTTTTTTTAAGATTTTTAAAATGAAAATATCAAATTTTTTAATTTCCATTTTTATTTTTTCATAATAAAAATTGTTAACATTGTGATAATTTGTTGTCATTGTTTTTGCTTTTCAATCGACATGTAAAAATACTCAATTGTATTTATCTCTAGTTATTATTCTACTTCTGTCATTAATCCTATTTTTCACGCTTATATAGGCCATTAATGGTAATAGTGTTGGTTTGTTGTTGTTAAAATGATGATTAAAATCCAATGATAAGATTAACCATCTGAATCATTAAGTAGAGAGAACTGTCAGTAAAACAGTTGTTCTTGTAATATACCATGTCTGTTCGTATTGAGATAACTATATTGAAATAACATTTTTTTCGTGTTTCTTATTAAACATCCATCAGAGACACTTCAGAGAATATTTAAATAGTTTTGTGTTTGAATATAGATAATAAAAACAAAACTCAAGTATAGACGTATCTAGATAGAAAAGAGACTTCCTTCCGTTATCAAGTAGAACAACTGTATATTGACAACAGAAACTGTTGTGACAGATATGTGGGAAATTAATAAATGGCAGAGATGATTATTATTAGAAGAAAAACTTGTGAAAAAGTCTGTTTATCACTTACCATACAGTAGTTTTAATAGCCTATGATCTACATATATTAATAAATCACGATAAACAGAACCACTTGTTTTTAACAGTCTTTTTTTTTCTTCGGAAAGTATAGAGTGTTATATAAAAGGTGATATATATAAAACGTGTATAGTATACTATTTTCTAATATATGAAGTAAAAAAAAATGTTAGAATTTTCAAATATTCTAGTTTTGAAGACATTTGAGTAACTGGGATAATTGATATTTATCAGTGAGAAAATAATAGAAACTAAGATGAATGTTTATTCTGTTTTGAAAATAACCTTTTAGATAATATATTTATATCAACAAAAAACACATAAGTCTCAATTAATGGATGACGACACATTTTGATTGACAGTTGTAAGGGTGACTTTTGTCTGTTGTATATTGAGTTTCTTGTAAATGGTTTAGATTGATAAACGACATAAGACTAACAAATTTGAAGAGAAGCTATGTTGAAATAGATGTTAACTACGCTCTAATGATATGTCTCTGTTATATATTTTTTTCTTTTTTAGAAAGATTGTTCAAAAGGAAAATTAGACAAAAAGAAATTTATTGAAGTATATAAACAATTTTATCCAACGGGAAAAGCAGATAAATTTTGTAGTCATGTGTTTAAGGTTAGTGTATAGATGTGCGTGCATTCTACTGTTTAAAAATAATTTCAACATTTTCATTCATTATTTAGACCTTTGATACAGATAATAGTGGAGAAATTGGTAAGCATGAATTGTTTAATACGGAAGAGATTTTTTTTTACTAGAATAGAACCTTTCGTATATCACTGACCACTTCCGCATTCTGATGAGTTACCACTTTTTTTCTCATAAAAAATGCAAGAAAAAAACAAGAAATATTCAACAGAAAATAATATTCGACGAAAAACATAAGAGAATGTATCCGTGCATGGACGAGTGAAGGTGTTGCAACCGTCACATCTACTTGCATCAGTTATTCAACGTCAGTTGCATGCAGTCGACACTGAAGTTAGATCAAAAAAGATGAAAAGTAAGAAAATGAACATAAATGGAGTGAATGAGTTAAGGAGTAAAGCATACGTTGATGAACTCTGATTAAAATACAAATTAAAAAAACATCATTTTTTACGAGAACACGAAGACCTCTCTACAATATGACCGTCGTCGTATTATGATCACTTTGACAAAAGTCTCATGAATTAGAGAGATCTCACTATACATGCAATAACTTCTTTAAAGCGTTATTCCCTTGCCTTTCACGAAAATAACATTTTTTTTTTCTTCTTTGTTTTTAAAGATTTTGTTGAGTTTCTAATTGCCATCTCTGTGACATCCCATGGCGATATTAGAGAGAAGCTAAACATGGCATTCAATATGTATGGTAAGTCAGTTTATAGGTTAGATCAACCTAATCGAGAAACATTCCCAGTTTGTTCTGTCAAAATCAATTACTCATTCGGACTATAGTCGATTACCTTGTACAGGACAAATTTTAGATCAAAATACTAATAGAAGATTCTACAATACCGTTTAGCTTTTCAGACTTTATGAGAAGTTATTGGGCAAAACACTAGGGAATACTTGAAATTCGTTGCATATAAAGTAATTGATTATGAAAAATACGCATTTGTAATTGGTTTTGACTGAAAAAACTTCAGATTGATTTGTTTATCTTCTTAGTCGCTTCTACATCTAAACATGATTTTAGATATTGACAAAAATGGAAAAGTCGATGCTAAAGAAATGGAACAAATTGTGACGGTAAATTAAACTCAAAAAAGTATATTTTACATATAATCAACTGCTCTCTCATTTCTTCTTACAGGCTATCTACGATTTACTTGGGGAAGAAAATCGTAAAGGTGAAAATTCACCATCAAAACGTGTGGAAAAAATCATGACCAAATTAGATCTTAATGGTGATCGAACACTAACAAAAGATGAATTTATTAATGGATGTTTACAAGATGATTTTTTGAAAAATTTATTAGCACCAAATGCTTAGCTCTCGGTGCGTGTCTTTGTTTTCTTTTTTAGGGTAGTGCGTATAGCAAAAACAAAACAACGTGAAAGTTTTGAACATTTTTTTGTGAAATTTCGGAAAAAATCGATCTATACATCGTTTTTAATCTTTGTTTGATTGTTGTCTATGTGTATGTAATAAAATATAGCAACAGAAACAACAAAAGCTGACTTTTGCTTCTAAAAGGTCTAAATGGAACAAAAATAATGCATGACGTATCAATATGATCGAAACGCGCGACTCGTCGCCTCTTATTTTTGTGGTCGATTTCAATTATTTTTATAAATAAATCCATATGGTGAGAAAACTGACAAAAAAATAATTGATGTTTTTTTTTACTTCAAAGTTGTGGGTTTTTTCTGAAATAAAGACGTTTTTATAGTGTACAACAATGATTTACAGTGGAAACAATACATTACATCTTTCCGTTGGAAAACCATACCCACTTTGCTGGAGAAGTGCACAGTGCCGCACTTTAAAGGTAACCTGTGCCAGGTTGAGCATGATAATTCTAATAGAAAGACCTGTTTTATCGACAGAGGATGCGTCTCCTTTGATGGATTCTACGATATTAGATCTAAAAGATTTCTTAAACCCTCTAAAAATAGACTTTTTTTTTAGAAGATCTATTGTTTTGGAAAATTGAGTTGAATTTTTTAACGAACTATGTCGAAATGTAGAAAAAAGTGTTCCCTCTTCAAAAATGAGACGTTGTGCACATTATTGCATCCTTATTGCATAAAGTTATAACGGATTTCCTGCACCTCCTCAAATATTTCATCTACTCTACGATCATTTTCAAAAAAGCATGGATATTTTTTGAATTACTTTTGAACGAGGAGACGGTGCTTCAAGGTTTCCAGAAACTCTTTCGAAATACTATAAATTTTGTAAAGATATTTTTATTAGATTCTTACTCACTGAGATACAGAACAGCCTCAATACCGCATAGTCTAAACTTTTCAGCATAGACGAAATCGTCAGGTCGGACCGATTGCTGGTCCATGTATTTCAATGCAGGCCGGTTTACATCTACGATTTTCAGATCCCTATAATATATTTTAAATGAGTGATGAGTGATATATTCATAAGCGAAAACAGCTCGAGAACTCTGTTTTCGCTACTCTCCAAACAAAAACATACTCAGGAGACCTTTTAACAGTTTGAGAATTGGGTATCATTTTTGAACCTCTGAAAAGTTCAACAGAAGATAAGGATTCCGCGTGGTACTATCTTAGTGCATTAACAGGTCTATGTATTTTTTAATCCAAGAGGTTTTTCTTCAAATTATTTTCACATGAGAAATCAAAATTTTGAGAATTATCAACTGTTTTTGGGCCACAATTTCAAGATTATTCTAAGGCACCGGGTATCAGTCATAAGACTTCAAGAAAATCCTATACTCTATACGAACAACTGAAAATCAAAGTTTCGCTTGACTTCCATTTTGTAGAGGACACTTTTGTCTGTCTATCTATCCATGTGAATAAAACACTATACTGTCATATACTGTCATTATAAATTTTAATATAGTTCTAAAAATAGTCTTCTTCTAAATATACTTTCTTTTGTCAAAGAAATCCTACTTTGAAAAATGATTCGTTTTTGCTTTTGAAAAGACATCTCTAATCCTTCTCTAGCGATTAGTAAGAACCGTGAATCTGTAACTTGCTTTATCCAAAAGTTATATAAAAAATATTTATTTTGAAAAAGATACTAATTGAAATGATTATATCTCTTTCGATCAATAGTACAGAGTTTCCCAAAAGAATTTTTCTGTAGCCAGAATTGTAGAACAATAATATTCTTTTTATTTAAAAGAAAAATTTCTCTTTTAACTTTCTTTAGGGTTTTAATAAATTTACTTAAATCAGACTTAAATTTTTACAAAAAGTCAGATTTTCTGAAAGCCATTTAGAGATTTCCAGAACTTTTGACTTTTAAATGTAATAAAAATTGATAAAAGGCATGAAGAAAAACGTCCATTTTCTGCCTAACCACTTGTTCGAACTGTATTTAAAGTACTCGAAACCGATAACCCCTCGAACGCTTATATCGAGGGTTGGAAGTCTCATTTTTCGAGGGGATGAGCCCTTTTTCGAGTACTCACCGCATCCCTCTAATGACTTTTCTCGTCTGCATGGGTTACATTCGACGAGACCTTTTACTTTACTTTGATTTAAAACCATCTAGACATTTCTAAGTCATAAACTGAAAACAATTTTTGAAATATTTTACGAACATCATTTGTATTTTTGCTGAAATTTACATCAAAATCAAGTGTAAAATAAAATAAATTTTCTCCCCATAAACTTCTAGTACTCTCTGCCTCTTTACAATTTATAGACAAGTAGCTTCTGAAAAACTGGATGATTCAGTCACGAATTTTTTTCTGTTTCTTCCGCATCCAATCCTCATATTCCACGCATAGAGAAGCTTCTGAAAAATGTTATACTATTGTCATTATATCTCCCCGCCAGTTTAAAAAAACGTTTAGTTTTTAAGAAGAAATTAAACATTTTTTTATCAATGAAAGATAACTATCTTACATGCAAAAAGAGTGATAAAATGACAAATGCATATATATTCGATAGATTAGAAGCCAATTTTGAATGTATATATAATATTTTGTTCGTTTCGTTTATTTTATTTCACTTTCTCTTCTAAATCACACAAATATACATAATACTGAAGCACACGTATTCAAAGAATAACAACAAAAAGAAAAGTGTCCAATGTCATTTTCTCACCTAAAATATGTATTTCTAAAATTATATTAAAAACTTTCTTTTTATCTTTTATAACATTTATTTTTTCGTTTTTTTTTTTTTTTTTTTTTGTTAAATAAAAAAAATGAGGCATCACTTGTAGTATGTCTTTCTGTTTAACGTATATTGCATATGTAAATTTTTTTAATACATCATAGAGAAGAAGAAGAAGAAGAGAAAATATTTTAATGTTCAAGGTAAAAATATAAGTGATGAAGTATCGCAAATTAATAATAATAAAAAAAAAAAAAAAAAAAATTAAGTAATAACGAAAGAAAAAAAAGTGAAAACGAAAAAAACATATTGAAGTATGTAATTCTTCTAAATGGCAATGTTCATTGTATTTTTGAATATTTAGTTGTACGTTAAGTTATGAAAGAGAAGATTTTTTTGTCTATAAATTTTTGTACGTGTATGTGCACTTGACCTTTCGCTTTTTTTTGTTTTGTTTTGTTTTTTTATTATATATGTAAAATGTTATCAACGGTATAGTTATGGAGTGGAAAGAAGATGATTCAAATATATATGAATTTTCTATTCAGAAAAAAAAAAATGTAACGTATGTTTAATTTATTAACACTTAAAGGTAAACTGAATTTTGTACTAATTGAGTACAATATTTTTAAGAGAAAAAGAAACATCTTTCAGAATTAGAATAGTTTAATGATTCGATTTAGTATAGGAGAGTTCATCATACGAGAAACGATTAAAATTTTGAACTAAAACTTTTTAAAATTGATCTCCAGCAACAACAGGTACGTATCTATTTTAATTCAAACAATTCTCTTTTCTGTTCAAACTATCTTGATCTAGAGAATTTTCGATTTAATTTTAGAAAAAACAATGAGTAATGAATTTATAGAATTTTTTAATGGTAAATAAAAATTTTAATAATTTCAAAATTTTAAGCTAGAAAATATCATTTAATTTGCATATGTTGAACAAACAAAAAAAAATTTTCATATGTTATGAGAGAACGCGTGATATCCATTGAAGAAGACTTAGAAATAAAAAGTGTTCTTTTTCATATTTTTATTTTATCCATTAAAAATTGTACAATAAACTCTTTGCTAATTTTGATTCGTCATTAAGTTGTGACATTTAGAGATCAGTGTTTGTTTAATGATTTACTGATTTTTGATCATCATCAAATAAATTCTTAGTTGAATAGCAGTGTACAGATTAAATTAACCATTTTATCGAGGCTGTCTTATTTTTTTTCTCCATCCTAATCGACTTTTTATGCACTCAACTCTTATATCTATGTTTGTTTAGTGCTTATACATAAAAAAAAAGATTGTTTTCAATAAATCTGAAAAGTTTTGCATATATTTTCATATATGCGTAACCTGTGTAAAATCGTGTACAAACGTATAAATAATTTTATTTACAAGTCAATAGATCTAGATAAGTATTGTCGTCAGTTCTGTTTTGATGGAAGAAAAAAAAAAAAAAAAAAAAATTCATTCTCAAGTTGTTTTTCTATTGACACGTATTCATCATATATAATACCGCCTCTCGACACAAAAAAATAAAATAATTATCATATCGAAGAGAAACTGTATAAAAAGAGTGGCCTCTATCTGTCAATAAATCAGAATAACAAATTCAAAAGATTGAACTTTTGTAAAACATCAATACCAACTGTAGATTGAATCATGTAAAAAAAGAAAAAAAGAAGGAAGAATAATATTAATAATATGGTGAGTGGTATAGAAGTGTATGTTCACTATTGAATAGAAAAGAACAAAATATTAATATAACAGCTACGTAAGCATATACTTAACAACAAATATATGATATTAGAACTTTTATCGACAAAAAATGGGTATAGACTTGTGTTACATGAAAATACTACCGCATAGGAATATATTCTTTTTACTGATTTTATGATATCATTCATCGCATGACAGTTATCTCTTAATATCTCAAAAGAGATTAGGTAAGATTTGTCTTATTGAAAGAAGTCAAAGTATATTTGATATAAAATGAAAAATAATTGTATAAATCTAAATTTTTATTCAATAATTTTTTTTCTAAACTATGTAGATATGATGATGAATATAATCGTTTGTATCAAAACAAATTTTGTTTTGGTTTTATTTTAGAATTTTTATTCTAGTAGATAATATTCGATGCCTTTTTTGAATTCATTTCATTTGAATTCATTAGATGATTCGAATAAAAAATCTCATAACACAACACGAGTCACTGATAATTATTCATTTTATTCTCATTATTCGTCGCCATCCTCTTATATGCAAGCAATCGATGTATTGAATAATGATGAACTAATAAGTTTCATCCATCGTCTAATGGATGAACGTGAACAAATATTAAAAGAAAACGAATATTTACGTGCAAAATTAAATGAATCGCTACTTATCGAAACAATAAACGAGATAAAAGGTGAACGTGACATTCTGTTAAAATTATTAGTAAATACAACAAATAATAATGAACAACAACAAAGAATATCAAGAGAACAAAGTCTTTTCAGTCAACCAAGGTAAATAACATTTCATATTCTATGAAACGAATATTCAATATTTAGTATTTAATAAATTATTATAAATTCTCTTTATCAAAACCGATTCATAAAGATTTCAAGCGTCTGTAAGGTGGAATATGCAACTGTCTAGATTGTGACCACTTGTAATATTGAATATTTTCACACAATTTCCCCCAATGTCATCAACCTATCAAGACCTCAGTATTCTCATTTTGTAGCTCGTGTCAAGTTATGTAGAAATTCGTATTTTTTTCCCCGAAAAACAATGTCACTATTGAGAGGTAGCAATGACAGAATGGCGTTTTCAAGCGTCTTGAATATAATACTGATTTCACCGTTCATTTTGAATTCTCTAGCATTGCTGATTAAACAGAGCATAAAAGTTGTGTGTGTTTCTCCAAAACCTGATCTTTCAGATAGCTTTTGGAAGAGAAGAGTACAGTGAGCAATGACGTCTTTTTGACACTAAATATAAACACACGATACACACAAGATTAGGGTTTTGGGGACGAATTTTTGAAAAACGATCTGCAGAAATATCGTCGGGCAGATCAAAAGCTGTAGAGCTACTCGATTAGTATCGAACGTATAATATCTCAAAAAATTGAGTTGTCGAGGGGATAGCTCACAAAGTTCAAAATCAAGTCTCAGGAACCTACGTAATGTGATTAAAAAAAATGTTTTGTAGCTGGTTTAACGGACAATTGAACAAGTTTATACGTCGTTACTCTTCCAAGTAACATAAATTTATTTCTCTAACTCTTTCATTAAATTTTACTTGAATCAAATTAACGTGTATGTCGACAAATGGCGGTATGTTTTTTTTATAAAAACATTTTGTATAAAAAATCCCAAGAAACTTAAATTTCTGCTGAAATATACCCAGCTTTTATGCTCTGTTCAATCCGAACTGTTAGAAAATTCAAAATGAACGGTGAAATCAGTATTATATTCAAGACGCTTGAAAACGCCATTCTGTCATTGCTACCTCTCAATAGTGACATTGTTTTCCGGGGGAAAAAATACGAATTTCTACATAACTTGACACGAGCTACAAAATGAGAATACTGAAATCTTGACAGGTTGATGACGTTGTGGGGAATTGTGTGAAAACATCATATTACGATTTATAATAGTCGCTAAACTAATAGATAGTAGTACTCAGCACTATATGTCAAAGTTTTCATTTTTTTTGTTTATCTGTTAGTTATTCTAACGACTCATTGCACTACCCACCACCACCATCATCTCAACAGGCACAACAATATTCAACATTAAAACCCTCGATGCAAACGAATCAACATCTCAACGACAAATCTACACGTCATGGTCTCGAATTATCGCCTGATCCGACATACGACACGAATAATTACGTAGTGCACACGCCACGTTACGAAACAACTAAAATTCGCAAAACTGACTCATTTCGTATAAACAAACATAACGAGAACTTTCATCATTTACCTACAACGTTATCACCACCGTCATTGGCACACATAGAAAATCAAAATAATGAACAGAAGCTCCATTCTAGTCCTCGACAACGTCGGTATCGTACTAAAAATGAGCGTACGCCAACAAAAACAATCGATTCTTCTTCAACAGTAACAAATGCGACCACACCAAATCGTCGTCGATTAACTTCTTCCACTGCAACACCAACAGCTGTTTATCGTATCGAGGGTAATACATTAAATGCAAATGAACTGGCGAATATATTCTCAAAAGTGAAACAAACACATCCAAATAAAAAAATAGTTGTGTACAAAGTTCGCCCAAATAATAATAACACTGTGTCACCGCGGACAATTGTCAATGGTGGTCATGAACAAAATCAATCATTAAATTCAAGTACTAATGGCACAGCAATGAATGATGATTTTAATAGACTTGTTGATGAAATGTGTATAAAACACGGAGTACTGAGTGCAGAATATGACACTATAAACAACGAAAATACTTACCAATTATTGCCAAAATCAAATCAGATAAAAACAAATAATCACATTACTAAATCCTCAAAACATTCACCAACAATAACTTCGTTGTTGCAACATCATCCACAGTCACCATTTCAACCCATTCAATATCGATCACATTCATTACAAGATCTAACACAACCGGATAATAACACTGATCAACAACAACATTCATTTGAGCCAAGTAAAACTGAAAATGGTGTGAATGAATGTTATTTGGAACCGTCTTATTCAAGAATTGTTAATCTACCCGTTCAAGAACGTTCGCATTACACACGACATTGGATACAGACAAATGATAATACATAAAGAATGTTATATTAATCATAAGAGTATAATTAAGATTCTATTAGATTTTCAAGTAGTCAGTTTATGGGTGCTAAACAAGATGAAAAAGAAATATCCTTGAATTCTTTTTTTTTACAAAGAATTATGAATGATGGTATCGATTTTGTGTCAGTCATACTGATCAAAAAATGTTTGTATATATTTCTTGTCTCATAGTATTATTTTCTCGTATTTTACATCTCCTATATTACACAAGAATCTTTTTACTGAACAATAAAAAGTGTATCTCCTGAGCTGTTCTATCTAAAATGCACTATTACTGCCATATAACATAGATGTATTCGCTTGTTCGAACGATGGGTGAACTTATAGTCAACATCAGAAATGAGCGAGTATATAGTTTGCGAGTATGAGCATCAAGTACTCTGGTCTGAGTATGAATGTTTAAAAACTACTTAAACACAAATACAAAATTTCTAAGATTGAGAAGAAGAAAACATGGAAGAGAAACGAATGAACTCATTTTGACCACCTCTTCTTACCTGTTCATTCATATAAATATGAACAGAAAATTGACCTTACCCTTCTTATATAAGGTTTAATTTTGAGTAGAATAATGTCAAGACACTAAGAACAGCGATTCCTTATTTAGCAACTACACAATGTTGACAGCATTTTTCAGGAAATCATAATAAATCATCGGCTGTGTCTAATGTATGTGGTGCACGAGTAGGAATAGATTTTCTATAAAATACATAAATTAATCGATGATCGAGAATCAGTTTGAGTTGATATCGTTCTGATATTAATTAGTATCAAGATGCAATCATTTTTCCAAAGACTCTAAATGAATGTTTTGCTGTTTTTCTGTTGAATTTACTGGTAACAGTCTCGTAAATTGTCTGTAGTTATCGTTTAGATGTCAGAGACGTTTTGTTGTATTAAAAAAAAGAAATGTTTGTTCAGTGGAGACGATTTTATCGAATCTTTCATTTGAGAGTTGTCGATGCAGGCAATATTGGAACAACATTTCTTCTCCGAACGAGGGTTTTTTGGTAAGATAATACCTCGTTCTAAAGAGAATAGTCCCACTTATTACCATAGCCTCCCACTTTGTAGTAACACTTTTTTTTGTTTCAAATAATATTCTTTTTGTCGAATAATCGTCTATAAGTAGATCAAGGCTTTTCACTCGATATAAGTTACTGTTTAAATTTCGGGTTTTTTCTGGAAAATTTTCTGATAATTGGATAAGATTTTAAAAAGTATGAACTCAACGTTTTCTTCAACAGTCTATAACTGTAGAAATATTGATAAAATTTGTTTAACGCTGTCAATAATTATTCCACATCACTCTCATGAAATTTTATATGTTCGATCAATGACATTGAACGCAATTTTATAGTCTATATTGACTGGTGCATAATTAGCATATTTAATTCTCATGTACTCAAATGTTAAAAGTTTTTCACTAATTTTTTATTACGTTTATATTAGATGATTATTATGATTATCAATTGGAATCTATTGTTGTTCACATGTGTATTTTTTTGCTCAAAATATCTCTATTTCTTAACTGCAGTGTAACGATATTAGTCAAAAGAATGTTTACTGATTCAAGTGAAATGTTGTACAGTCTACATCTAGTGTTAAATATTATTATTATTATATCAAATTGTTGTTACTAATACAATAAAAAGATACTTAATTGTATAACTTTATTTTGTTTTGTTTTTGTTAAATAGATCATCTGTACTCGATAAGGGCGTGTATTTTTCAATATTTAATAATTCATTGTATCTTGACTAATTTTATGGTACAAAAAGTCAAATGAGAAAACTAGACAATTTTATTTATGTTTCATACAACTATGCATCACTTTATTAACATTATTAAATGATTTAACATCATTATCATCCTATTTCAATAAAATATGAGTAATTTTTTTTACATATTAATTATATTAATTATCAAGCAATGATTAATCATCGCTCAAAAATATTGAAATCTAAATTCAAATGGTTTCTCATGATTATATCTTAATTATACACCTGTATGACAATATTGCCTTTAGGAAGTATATGATGTAAGAAGAGAACATAAAAAAAGAAAATAAAAAAGAAGAATGGTGTATAAATCATGAATATATGGCATCTATTGCTTCTGTATTTATTTATTTGCTGAGAAAAACAAGTCTTGTAATAATGATAACAGTTTATGGACATTATAAAATTTTTGTGATTGATTTCTGTATTGTAACAAAGATAATATATAAAATTGATAATGAATTTATTTTATTTTTTTTTGTCTTATTTTACTATTTTTTTATTTTATTTTATTTTTTTTTCTCATAGATATGCGTAATACTTTTGTTGTTTTATATGACACCTTTCTCTTCTTTTGAGTAGGAAAAAAAATAAAAAATAAAAAAAAAAATTTCTTAATCATCAACAATACGCTATGATACACGTGAGTAAGCGTAGGAATTTTTCGTTTATGTCACTTTTCTATATTATGAAATAACAAAACTTATTTTTATTTGACGATCATTTACATATAAGTCAAAATTTTAATCGATTGAGTTTATTATTTTATTTAATAATTTATAAAGATTCTTAAACAATGACGAATGGGGAAAAAAGAGTTGTATCATTTTTTATTTGGGTAAGTTCTATACATTTTTGAACATTTTATATGTTATCTCTATATTATTATATACAATTTCTTAATACAGAATTTGTGTATACTATTATCAGTAAATTATATAAATTTTAGAGTTAGAAAATAGAATTTTATCTCATATAACTTTTCTAGTTTTTTATTCATTTGATAGTAGATCTGATATCAGAAACTAAGATTATACAATAATAAAACAGTAGAAGGATAAACTTTATGATTATTTGATTAAAATTATTCATTTTGAATTTTTTTTTTTTTTATCAATTTTATCATCGATTAACAATAGAATCCTATTTTTAATCTATCTAGGATCCTGAACTTGAACATAAAATTGATACTGAAGTAAAAATGATTGATGGTATTGGAAAACTATTGAATGTTGCTACAAATCCCATGCAAATAATTGAATGTCACAAAGCATTAATTGTTTCACAACAACGTATGTTAGCCTATATGGCTGAAATACAACGAAAACAACAAAAACTTTTGTCAAAAGATGATAATAAGTAAGTTTTAATAGTCTTTTGTTAATAATAGACAAAATATTAATTTAATTTAATATATTTTTTTTTTTTTTTTTTTTTTGTCTAGTTTAGTGCCAACGAAAGCTGTCATCACTATTTCAGGTATAAACAAAAAAATTTAATTTATTTACATAATTTATTACGTTATTTTTTCTATTCTAAGATATTCGATTTCCGTTAACATGGACTGATTTAAAAGCGAAAGCAGGTAGGTGTTTATATCTATCTATTTTTATAAATTTAGATTATTATTATAATTAATAATATATTTAGATCAAAAAAAGTTTGCTGTATTCTGTTTGGCAAGAATTGGTACTGTAGTTCTTGATACATCTATGAAATATATTGATCGTCAAGCAGCTGATATTCTTTTTACAGACAAATTAATCTTGTGAGTAATAGTTTTTCGATATATATTATTGTTTTTTTTTTTCATTAATAATATGTATTTTTTGTTTTTTATTCTATAGTGATAATGTTCCACATAATTTTCAATTAACATTTGAAGTTTATGCTTTGAATACAAGTCTTGCTGTAAGTTCATCGGCAAAAGATTTTGCCAATCGATACAGTTATTTTAGTACACATGGTTCACCAAAATTAGCAAGAAAAATATTCAATGGAAATGTAAGTCTATAGAGTAACGCTTCTTTTTTTTTTTATTATAATTAAATTAATTATTTTTCTTTTTTTACCTACTTTTAGCATTCATCAACAACAACGAAAAATAATGATAAATCAAAACAACCTCAATCAAAATTTGAATTGATTGGTGAAATGATATTAACAAAAAATAATGTTTGGAAAATAGCAAAAGGACGTCAAATTAATATTATTAAAAAAGAAAATGCACTAACGCAATTACCAATAGCAAATATTTTTCATATGCGTTTTGTTGCTCAACCACATTGTTATACGAAAACAGCTTTCGTAGGTTTTGCTGAAATCAATAATATTCCGTATACATGTACATTATTATCCGGTTTCTTGGTTGGTGAAGAATTAACAAGATATCCTGTTGAAGATTCTATAAATTTATATCGATTTTCAACTCCAATTACTCCCGTAAATTTAAAAAAAAAAGAGATTTGACTCCTTATTCCTATTTATAATGATGTTTAATTTTCTGTGTAGGATACATTGATATTATCTCGAAATAATGGTCACTCATATTCATTTTCTGTATGTAATAAAGGATATGATCAAGATGAATTTTTTGTTCAAGATCAATTTACTTTTAATAATTGGATACGTGCACTTCAACAACATATTGTTGATCTAAGTAAGATATTAATAAAAATTAATTTTTATTAATTATTTTGTTTTTATCATATTTCTAGAAGCATGGCAAATTTGTTTGGAACATATGCCAAGACGATTTTCTCAACCTGTTTCATCAGTACTTTCTGCACCACCAAAAGCAAATTTAAGAACAAAAGCAAGATCTTTAGGTATGAGAAACATTTTATTTTATTTTATATTTTTAAATCTATTTTATGTTTTTTCATTCTAGACAATATAAACCACACATCTAGTAGTATTCATTTTACTATTGACAGAATGACCGATCCATCGTGTCATACAAGATTATAAAATATTTTTTCGATATATTTGTATATATCCTGTATTTGTATTCTTTTTAAATTCAAAAATACATTCTTATATAATATAGTAATACAGAAAATTGTTTGAGTCGAGACATTGTGTGGCATAATCATCTGCTCGTAAAAAAAGGTTCATTTACCTGTGGTTTTGTTCCATTAATTTAATGCTCGCTATTTTTTTTTTTTCTATTTTACTCTCTGACCACTTTTTTTCTTGTGTATTTCTTTTTCTTTAATATGAAGGAGAAATGTTTTTTTAATTTTTTGTTTGGATGTACATAACAGCTCAGTAGTTTAAAAAAGGGAGAGCAATTGAATAAGGCTCTATTACATATTTATATTCATTCAGTTATGTACCAATACATGGAATTTTAAAAATGTCATTTCTTACAGATATTTTAGTTGTTTACAGGGTAGATCTCGATATGAATCGACATTTTTCTATTCCAGTGATTTCTTTCAAAGTGGTAGAAAGTATTATTCTATTCCATTAATTGACATGAATATTATAGTATTTACTTTAAGAGGGAGTTCGTTATACGTACAGATCACACTCTATACTGAACGCACAGCAGTCGATTTTATTTTCTCTCAAATTTTCTGAGTGAATAACTCCCATTTCAATAGATTCCATTTACCTCCAATGAGCTTCAGAACCGTTCACAGAATGTTTGAAGACCCTTTCAAGATGACAATAAAACTGTGACAAAAAAAAATGAAAAATCTATAGACTAGTCATTTTGCTTGTATAAAATGGGGAAGTTTCATTTGATTATTATTGTTAGTACAGTAATGCGAAAAAATTATAGAACTATCCAGGAACCTCCCCAAATATCCTTCGTTTTTTTAACGAAATGTAGTAGGTTATATGTAATCGGCCATGCTGATTTCGAATCTGATATTCATTTGGAACCATAGACCTTTTCTAGCCGGTTTCTCAAAAACTAGTTTTACAGAAATCTCGAAAAATCCTCAAACTTTTTTCTTAATGAGGCATGATTGTAGCTCACAAATTTCTGATTAAAATGAGATATCTTCCAGCTCTACACGACCTTTCTTTGCAAAGTTATAGAGTTTACAAGAAAAGTCCTAAATGTTCATTGTCATCTCAAAGCTATAGAAAGAAAAAGGAACTCAGAGCTTTGCAAATAATTCTATAACTTTGCAAAGAAAGGTCGTGTAGAGCTGGGAGATATCTCATTTTAATCAGAAATTTGCGGGCTACAATCATGCCTCATTAAGAAAAAATTTTGAGGATTTTTCGAGATTTCTGTAAAACCAGTTTTCGAGAAACCGGCTAGAAAAGGTCTATGGTTCCAAATGAATACCATATTCGAAATCAGCATGGTTGATTATCTATAACCTACTGGATTTCGTAAAAAGAACGAGGGGCTATTTGGGGAGGTTTCCTCATGAGTTCATGCTCTTCCTATCAGAAAAGTATCTCTGTAACTGCCAATCAGTTCAACACGAAACTCTTAAGAAATATCAGACATGTCAAAATACAGTTACCATGAAATCTTCGAGACTGTATCTGTTAGCCTTTAAGAACTGGGTATGAAAATTATAAAAGAATAGCAATTTTCGAACTTTTTGAGGAAACTTCGAAAATTTTTGTTTGATTCATTAGAAGCATTACCCCTCAAAAAAATCTGAAAAAAGCAGTTTGGACTCAAAGTTTGGACTCATCAGTTCTGATTCATTGCTCTCTACGTCGTCATGAGTGCTTATGTCTGAATCACGAGTTTTGTGAAAAACGTCTAAGTATGCAAAATGGTGTGAAAGTCGCTGTAATTCTTGTAGATTTTGTAGAACTATTGAATAATAGACCTTTGTACACTGCACAATTGCATGTTTCAACGCACGTGTCTAAAGTGTATCTCAGTCGAAAAACGAATATTTTCGCAGAAATAATAGTTTCTCAACTGAGATACTTGATTAAAATATGGATTGTATCTCAGTTGAGAATATAATTTGTATTTCAGCTGAGACGTTACGAAAAAAGCTAAAAATAGTTGCTATATATTTCGACATTGTGAGAAATTGAGGTCTCAAATAAAAGATTAGATTGTTTTTTTCATAAGTGTCAGCTTTGGTTAAAAAACAATAATCCATGAAAAAAAAATGATCATGAAAAAATGATGTTCCGAAAAAATATTTGCACCGGTATTTGTCAACAAAAAGATAGTCGCTTTTGCGTTAGAGTGATGCTAGTGTCCACGAGAATAATTCAGGGATCTTAGTAGGAAGAAAGAAGGAAGAATACCACGCCTTATGGCTACCGTTATCGGTGTCAGGTGCTAGAGGTTTCAATAATTCGACATTTTCCCTGAAGTTGACCAGCTTCTGATATGGTTACCGATTTATTACTGTGAACGGCTCAGCTCTTAAGCTCATTGGAGGTAAATCGAATCTATTGAAATGGATGTTATTCATTCAGAATATTAACACACATACATAGTTATAGGTAATTTTTGGTGCTGTCCACAAATCAAATATCCATTTGTGCCTATATAGTTCTCTGTACTGTATTTGTCGACAATCGATCTGTGGAGACCCATCTTAAAATCGAAGATGAAGAGACTTTGATCTGTCTGTCTTATAGAGCATGTGGTGGCAACTTTACTGTAAAGAAATCGTCGAAAGTCAAGGCTTTGTAGTACATCGATGTGTAAAATTTCTTGAAGTCCGCCAAAACTCAATTCTTAGATCTCAAAACTTTTTTACAGCGGTAATTTCACATGCTCTATAAGACAGACAGATCAAAATCTCTTCATCTTCGATTTTAAGATGGGTCTCCACAGATCGATTGTCGACAAATACAGTACAGAGAACTATATAGGCACAAATGGATATTTGATTTGTAGACAGCATCGAAAATTTCTTATAATATGTTTCAAGAGAAAAGCCTTTCCTCGTCAGTTGAGAATAATATTTTTACACTTTTGCAATGAATTCTGTCATGTTTTCACCAGAAAGATACGTTTGATGAATTGTATAAGACTCCCATTTCAAAAGATACGTAGTATTCATTTTTACAACTACTAAAGAACTTCTCAAAAACAATTATTTAGCATATTTATTAAAATCAAAACTGCAAGACGCGCGATAATCATATTAATAATCATTTTTTCTCCTACCTAATTTAATGTTTAAATTCGGCAGTATTTTCTTTACCTCTTGCACCAAATCTATAAAATCGTTGTTTATTATAATTTCTCGTAAATCAATCATTTGCAATGAACTTGTTGGCATTTTCACGAGTGGTTTCACTACAGCATAACATCCGCTCGATTCTAATGGATTTCCGTTTAATATTAAAATTTTTAATGTTTCATTTTTACTCAGCCCTCTTCCGATATGTATTGCTGCTTCGGTTGTTAATTGATTATTAGCTAAATTAATCTCTTCCAATGTTGAATTTACTTTCATAATATCACCAAAGACTTTTGCAGCATATAAACCAAACCCGTTCCATGATAAATCGAGTGATCGTAATCGATCATTTGATAGTAAAAATTTCATAAATAACCCGATACTTTTATGACGCAAACGATTCCATGACAAACATAAATATTCTAAACCGGTATTTTCTGATAATGCTGCTCCCAATAATTTACCAGCTTGCTCTTCTAATAAATTTTTACTTATACTTAAGTGTGTAAGGTATCCATTCATAACCAATAGTTCACTAATGTATGAAGCACATTCATCATTAAAACGATTACCATCCAAAATAAGTGTACGAATTGTACGATTTGTGCGTAATACATTACAGAGTGCTTTGCAACCTAGAACAGACATAATCATTAATCACTTTTGTGATGGATCTTTTGTGAAAACTCTTCCTGTCTTACAAAGTAGAAGGAGTTTCAGTTTATACTCAAAAACCAGGCGAATACTAGTTATTTTAGACCCCTTCCCCCTGCTTACACGCACTTAAAAAGTACCCTTACATGATCTTAAAATGGCCTTTACGCGATCGGAAAAAGACTTTACGTCATCTGAAACAGACCCTTACGCGATCTGAAAAGGTTTACGCGACTGACTATGGTACCTTTACATGATCCTAAACTGTGTTTTACACGATCTTTGCACATCTTTTAGAGACATCGAGTTGTAATTAGATGTGTATGTATACCATTTGAAGGCTGGCTTTACATGATTTTACAGTGCTTTTACGCGACGTTATGTCGCTGTTTGCTTTATCTTTACCCTCTATGGGTTTTTGATTGTATGTTAAATCTGGCTTTAGTTGGCGGTGCCTCTGCGTTTATGTTACAGTTTTCTACTACGGTTACATGAGGATGCATTTTTTTCTCCTTGGACATTTTCTGGAGGATTTTAATGCGTGGCCGTAGCCTCCATTTAAGTTTTTTGCTCTCAGATGGTGCATATGCCAGATTACCCTGCGAGAAAGTTTATTTTGGATCAGCAATGTAGTTCGTCATGTAGATCATGGTTACCAACAACATTTATAAAAATTCTACGATTAAACATAAAAAAGAAAAAACAATTCGGTCCTAATGTACACGACCTAAACCTAAACTGTTTTTATTTTTTAGCTTTTTATGAAATTCTTCATGCCATAACGAGCAGAAAGATTTTCAATTTATACTACAAAGCCCGGAGTATTTATCTTAAATTTTACCCATCATCCCCTTGCTTCCACGATCCTAAATCTAAATATAAACTTACACTTTCTTAAAGTGGCCCCTATCAGACCTTAACAAGCCTTTACGTGCTCTGAAAAGTTTTACACGACTGACGATGATACCTTTACGCGATCTTAAAAATACCTTTACACGAGCTGAAAAGATGCTTTATTTGATCGCACAAAAGTAAGCTGATTTATTCTATAATTGTTAATATATTGACGTCGAAGAATTTTTTTATATCAATCAATTACTGACCTCTATAATTGTATAATTATGAGTTTCACATTTTAGTATCGATAAGTACTACCCAGCCAAGGTTTTCCTTATTATTTCTATCCTTTCCCGACCCTAAAACTACATTGAATAATTAAATCTATCATAAACATTTTTTTTTCTTTTTTCTACAGGCGAAAGACAGAGACTAGGTGCCAGCTATGTTCAAAACAGATTAAAAAATCGACTTAGGATTAGAGACGGTATTGTTTGGCGCTCTTGCTACAGACGAATTACACGATAAAGAAAAAAAAATCAAGTTGGATTATTGTTTTTAAGAATAAAAATTTGTTTTAATAATTCCTCTCAATTAACACAAAATAGCGAGAGAAATTTTTTCTACTCTCATCATTTCATTTGCATCAAAATTAATGAGCTTTTTATATCATTCTGAATAATCATTCCAGTAACAAAATGTATAATAGAAGTAATTCTACTAAGTATCAAGTGACTACCTAATCATTCAACATTTACGCAGTTAATCTTTTCGCCAAATCTGTACGATCAGGTATAGATGAGAACGAGTGACTGACGCCTAAGAGAAAACATAGTGTAGAAGAAATAGACTAGATACCAACTGTCCTTTGGAAAGATTAGACAGCCGATCGTGGATACATTCTAAGACTATATTTAATAGTTTACACACGGTGTTACGAATAGCTGTCAAATACGCATGTTCTCAGATATCTACAGTTAAAAAACCATATCTAGAAGAAATGGTTCGAGAAGAAAGTCTCAAAATTACTTTAATTATCATTCTCAGTACTCTGCGTACTGTAAACACACGATCAAATTATAAATGCATATAATCATGTAAAGTATCTTATATTGTATTCGCACATACACTATACAAATAGTTAAATGAAGAATTAATTTAATAGTCAATAAAAAAAGTCAAAATTCTTGAACAAAGGTGAAGTCCGCATAAGAACGGTAATCGGCCCACTAACAATAACCTCTCTAATCGGTCCCAACCTCATCAGAAACACATCCGATTATCATATTCGATGATTTCGACCCTTCCG